AATCTTTCCAACTTGGACTGACTCGACCTGCACCAGAGAGCAAAGCACCACCGTTCCGATTTGGAACTGGAGCGAAGACATCTCTTAGCACATCCACCTCTCTGGAAGATATGTTTGGGGACTCACCTCCTCATGAGCGCCCAATCTCTCGCAACAGCTCTTCGACTCACCTGGCCCCGCCGCGTATGCGGCCGTCACTCCACCATGCCCGTAGTAGCGGCTCTCCCGCCTCCAGTTCAATCCGCAAACCCTCTCATCCTTTGATGCGTCCCCGCAAGCAATGTCGGCGATCATTGAGTATGTTTGAGCACCCAGCAGATGTTATTGCCGAAAAAGAGGCCAAGGTAGCGACAAATACACCCGTCCAGTCAATTAGTGACATTTCGAGCCCGCCCAGCATGAAGCTGCCTCATTTCATCCCTGAGGATCGCGCGGACTCTCTACCTCGCATCGACAAAAGCACTCTTTTGGAACTCATGAACGGCAAATTCAACGACCAGTTCGACAACATTCTTATCATCGACTGCCGCTTCGAGTACGAGTACGAGGGTGGCCACATCACTGGCGCATTAAACTATAACGACAAGGAACGCCTCGCTGGCGAATTGTTCAGTGCCCCCCAGGCCCGCACTGCGCTTGTCTTGCACTGCGAGTACTCTGCGCACCGAGCTCCCATCATGGCCAAGTACCTGCGCCACCATGATCGCGCGATCAACGTTGATACTTACCCTCATCTGTCATACCCGGATATGTATATTCTGGACGGTGGATACAGCTCATTCTTCGCTGAACACCGCTCCTTCTGTTTCCCCCAGAACTATGTCGAAATGAGTGCCAAGGAGCACGAATTTGCCTGCGAACGTGGACTTGGCAAGGTCAAGCAGCGCTCCAAGCTGAACCGCGCCCAGACTTTTGCCTTTGGGGAACAATCCCCTGGAATGGAGGACAGCCCAACTGGACGTTGCCGACTTGGCGACAGCGAGCGAAACCGATACCTAAGCTCTCCGTTCTCACAAAGCCCAGTCCCTGCGCGGACCCCCGGCCGCCGGATGCTTTCCTACTAAATTAACTCGCCAGTACCTTTGACTGTTGATGCTTTGCATTTTCTTGCATCTTATGTTTTTTTTTCTTGTCATGTCCTTGGAGCGTGGTGTTTGGCTGATGCATTGCAATATGCTTAACGGCGGCTTTCTCTTTTCTTTTCTTCCTCGACTTCTCTCAACCACCTCAGTCCTGCTGAGATCTGATTTAGGTTGTCTCCACCTTTTCCCTGACCTCTTTGATACCAGCTATTGGTATCGTCCTCTCCTTGACGACCCCTGTTTACCTCATGGGTTCATGTTTCCTCAATATTTCCTTTACTTGGCATGTCGCCACCTCTCTCTATGCCCAACGCCCATGATCTTCCCCGGGTAACCGACTCTCATGAACCTTTTGAATCTTGAGTGTCCCATTTCATATGTCTATTTACGACCTCGCAACTTCGAAACCGAAAATGCGCACGAAGACGGCCTATCATCGCCAGATTTCCATTTTCTCATACCTCTGGGTTCTTTTTTCCACGAAAACAATACCCCAACGACGATTTTCATCGAACATTTTGCCGACACTTTGGCATCTCCTTTTCTCTCCGAACATTCTTTTGACATCATTATCGCCCTTTAATCCACTATTTGGTCCTTCTTTGTACAGACTTTTCACCGTGGAACAATCGTCATTCCTCGCTGTACCAAACTTGCATCTCGATGCTCAATGCCGGTTTCACTGGCTAAATCCTTCGTCAGGAGCATTTGTATTCAATGCATTGTCCGATAATATTCCCCTCTGAACCGTGCCATTGGGGCAGTGCGGATGATCTTCAGGATGTAATATTGCATCGAGAGTGATTTTACAGCTGTACATAACGAGAATTGCCTGTCTACTGCAGACAATCTCTCTCTGGATGTGTTTCTCTCGTGAGATTCTAATTGGGTCTGGAAAGGGTAATTGGAGGAGACTTTACAAATGTTTGGTTTCCCTTTGTGAGAATAAAAAACCTATTTCAAAATAACTTCAACTCGTCTTGTAAAATCCTTAGATGATCGACAGAATTAATAAGGATTGTCGTTTTGAGTCTCTCTGACGGATGTGATAGGCGGGAATGCGGGAACTATGGGGTTCCCTGTCCCTGTCAACCCTTGCCCCTGCGAGGTTGAACTTTTGATGTTTCAGCAATTTCACGCACTCTCTCGTTCTTCAGGGCTCGTGTCTCGAGTCCAGCAGTGTCTATTCGGTCGTTTCTGTCATTTTGGGACCCTACGCCTCAGTTCCTTGGATCCTGATTCGGGGTCTTACTCTCTCTTCAGTCTTTATTCGTTCAATCGTTCTATTTTGGTTAACTTGCTGCCTATTCCATCCACCATCTTGGATTAGCATCTATTTATGCACGGAGCACAGCTTCGCTCATTGATATATATTTTACTGTGACTTCGCATTTCCTATCGCTACTATCGCTACTATCGCTACTATCACTATCATCGATATCATCGATATTATCGTTCTCAGCCTCGCGCCCCGCCCCCCTCTCGTTACCTCCCCGGCTTGGACCCATCTCGCGATACAGCTCACTCACCCCGGACTGCGCCTAGTTTTGATCATACTAGATAATCTTGCTCAATGCTGTTTAACAGTCATTGGAAATTGAATGATTCCCTTTCTATCGCCTTACGCACCCGCCATTCGTTTTCGAGATGAGTTCAGCAAATATTACACTATGGGCCCGAGACACTGTGAGTGATCTCGAGTCAGTTCCAAGCACCTTTTCGAGCTGGGACAAATGTATGGCCAAATCATACTGCAAGTGAGTTTGGCTTGTGTGATCTGCACCTTCCCGTGGTATTTGCGCATGATCTGGCATGATACTAATTAATTGGCGCAAGGTGGCCTGTTATCGTTGGTATCATCGTCGGCGCAGTGGTTCTACTCTCTGTTTTAGCTTGCGTCATCAATTGTCTATGTTGCGGCTATCAATGCTGCAAGTGCTGCTGTAGCTGTTGCTGCCCCTCAGGCAGGCGCCGAAACAAAACGCCCAAACACTTTGATGACCCTCCGTTCCATCAACCTCCACCACCAGCTCCAAATCCGGTCTATCAAGCGTCGCCAGCCCCGCCCTCATATCGTGGTGCACAACAGAGGGCGCCTTCGTTCCGCGGCGCGCAGCAGACTGCGCATTTCGACGCGCCCAAGACTCCGGCCGCTCATGTCAATGAGGACGCCCTACCTGAGATGCCTACCTGGGCCGGTGCTGTTGACAAGCATGTCGAAGACCCAAACCATCACGACGACGTCGAGATGGAGCCATTAAACCCACCGGACCGAAAACAGGGTGCTGGTACACCTGGTACCGCTTACTCTGACTATTCGCCCAACCCAACCATGGGCGGGACCGCGGCGGGATACAGAGGATTTGGGCCTACTGATCCGTATGCACGCCGGTCTCCCGGCCCGGGAGTAGCATTGAATCTCGTCCAAGACCCATATGGCCGACGTTCGCCGGGCATGCCTTCCCATGGGGCAGCCGTTGATCCCTATGGCAGACGATCCCCCGGCCCGGCGGTGGCACTGAATGCAGCGCAGGACCCATATGCACGACGGTCCCCTGGCCCACCAGCAGCCTTGGCTGCCACTCAAGATCCGTACGGGCGACGCTCGCCCGGCATGTCACCCCCAGCCCAAGCAGCTGGCTATGGTGCCGCAGCCCATGACCCTTACGGTTCACGTTCTCCGGGCCTGACATCGCCCGTCGGCGCACCAGTGCACAACCCTTACGACCAGCAACAGTACCACGACTCGTCTGACGACCACTCCTACCGCGCAGGCAACGGCTACCACGCGGTGACAGCACCCTCCCCCGTGGCTGCATACAAGCCGCACACCAACTACAGCCCCGTGCCAATGTCCTTCTCCCCGTCTTCGGAGATAGACCATTCTGCAGCCGCGGCCCCAACACCAGGCTTCCAGCGCCAGCCATCTTTCGGCTCTAGCCAGTATCCACCAACATACACCTCTCAGCCTTCATACCGCGCCTTCTCCCCCGGTGCTCCTTCTTCGCCCCCTCCTGCTTTCTCGGCCCCTTCGCCTTCCGAATATACTTCCTACAACCCCCACGCCAACACCACTCCCATTCCCCAGCCTGACAACAACAGGCCTCCGAGTCTGTTGCAAAGCGGCAAAAAGCCTACCTTGAATGCTTCAAGCAACTTTTGAGCATGACCCTCGTTGATCGAGGCGGTTTCACGAACAGAACGTTTCCCTTTTTCCCCCTCCCTTTCTCGCGTCTTTTTGATACCATTCTCAGGCTGCATTTGTCTCAGTTCATCTTACATACTCACTTACATACCATGACCCCAGGCTAAATTTGGCCATGGAATTGAACACTTTTTTTTTTCCCATAATTTCGCTCATTTGGACTCCTGCATTGTCGGGCCGGCCAAAGCCGCCTCGCTTAATTCCCTTGTATGACAGTGCTCGCGCGATTTTGCCTTGCAAAGAAGGTTCCACCATTTGATTCATCTCGATAGAACTGATGATATCCCAAGCTTTAAGGGTTTCAGACTGGTGATTGGGGTCTGTTGGGTTTGTACTATTCATGGATGCATATGTACCTACCAGTAGATTATAGTAACGAAAATGTGTGGCTACTTGATTGACCTTGCGCTGGAACCTGTGAGTCTGGTGTTGATTCCCGAAGGGACCGCGATCGTGGTCGTACCATTGATACTGTCCATTTCTAGCCGAGATACCCTGAGAAGACTCGTTAATATAAGCATTTCTTATATGGGTTCAGCGAGGCATTTGTTAGTTTGTGAATTTTGGCTTCAATTTGAACTCATTTGTCACATTTCATCGTATTGTACACGAGGGAGCTTTCCGAAGACGCTTCCCGTTGAAAGGTCCCTCCCAAGGTTACAATAACCCGCATTGGTTATGTATGCACCTGGAATCGAAGAAACTTGCCCATCTCAAATGGACTCATCGGGCCCCATCGCGAAATCATATTTCGCAAAAGCTTCCTTGAAAGCCTCCGCATCCTTCGTCTCCTCAGCCTCCGTCTGCACACAATCCCGCCAGTTAATACGCTCATCCAGATAGAGTACCTTGCCCATAACCTGACGACCAAATTGCAAATTAAATCGGTGCTCCGGCAGGATCTTCATAATGATAACATTCTCCTCTCCAGATTCCGTCTTCCAAACCCCTTTGTGCTCAGGTGCAGACCAGTTGTCGCCTTCAACTTCGGCTTCACTGCTGGGCGTAGGTGTCCAAATAAAGACCCGGAAATAGTCAATCATATGGTGATTGTGGATTTCGTCGGGGTTTGGCACGGTCTTGAACGTCGAATATTCCAGGTTCGAGGCTTCCTTCTTGAATGCCATCTCCACAAGCCGGGAGCGGATTTTCTCCACTGGCATCGGCAAGAATTGCCAATGTGTGTGAATGCCGTTCGAGCGGCTGACTTCCCAAGTGACAGCACCGAGCTTGCCTCCTGATCGCTCGTTGAGCATTTGGTGCATTGCCTCGCGGTATTTTTGCATCTCGGCGAAGGCCTCGGCTCGGATTTTCGGGTCAAAGATTAGGTCGATGGTTGGGCAGTGATCGAAAGGGATGATAAGCATATGGCCTGGAAAGCCCAGGGAAGGGAAAAAGTCCTTTGTGGGCAAAGGCCCTTTGGCGGTGGTGATGTAGCTCTCATTGCCGATTGAGGTGATGAGATGTGTGGCGATGTTAGGATTCAAGAGGCAGAAGAAACAATTCTCTGGGCCTGGCGGAGGAGCGCGCTCTTTGTGTCGGCGATTATGTCCCGGGTCTCTATCTATGTCGGAGGGCGCAAAGCGCTGGTATGATTCGCTTTGGCTTGGGAGCATTTGACGCCTACTTTGCGCCGCCGACCAAGGACAAATGGTGGCTCCTATGGGAATACTGCTCGGGAAAGGTGCTGTTGGGTCCAAGTTAAAGGCATAGATAGCATGCTTCATCGAGCCGAAAGTAGGCAATGAGATGAACCGAGTAAGTTGGTAGACATCTGGGGCCTCCTCCGTTGGCATGTGAAAGAATGGCTCACGCTCGAAGAAAGCACCATCTGACCGAGAGAAGTGATACCGGGGTTTCAAAGTCGCGCAGACATCTGCAATGCATTGCAATTCAGCTGGCACAGTCTCCTTATTCCCAGAGACCTCACAGCTAGATCCAAGACGGACATCCTTCGGCCATTGGTTGGTGATAAGAATATCTGTTTTGTGAATCCCGAACAGGGCACGAGCATCAGATTCGCTGTATGTCTGCTGGAACTTGCCGCTAGCGTTACTCTCGGGTTTAGATTTACCCTCTGTCTCTCCCATGGTTCCACCGAGGGCAACAATTCGGATACCATCTGTTGTCTTCAAAGTTCCTCGCTTTCCCAGAAAGAACAAGTTGGGACACACTTCATCGGTTGCTTCAATCTTTTCAACCACTTGAGGGGGAAGTGGTCGGTTACCAAGGGTGAAGTAGGTTGGGCATGCCACAGTAATATTCCCCTGTATCAATGCGGCAATATCCTCGAGCTCGTCTTCAGTAGAGCCATCACCGAAGAGATCACCAAGAATGATGGCAAAGGAGAAATTCTGCTTTGGCTGCACCTTGGCTAGCTTGTTGAACACGGGCCGTATCTGACCGTTCAAGCTGCCAAAGACAATACTACATAAGGATTGAATCAGTGACTGAAATACATGCAGACCTAAACATACATACCATTTGGGAGCCATTTTTGGGTCTGTCTTCGATGATAGGTTGAGTTGGTACAGGAAAATGTTGATGGAAAGTTGATTGAAGGATGATGGAAAGAGAATAAATAGGAATAGGAGAGACCCCCCAAAGATGTTCTTTCAAACACCCAAACTGTCCAAAGGTACCGCCAAAGATCAACTACATACGACTAGATGTAGGATAGAACATCCGGGTTCTCGCAAGCGGGAGCTTGGGCCACCTTATCAGCACGTGATGACCATAGATATCTCGCACGGAATAAAGAACTCCCGATCCGATGAACTTTTTTGTATTCCATGCGGATGAGCCAAAAAAAAGTTACCAGTACCTTTCTTACGAACAGTGCTGCTCGTCAGACCCGTCAAGATGGTGGGGACAGGCTCAAAAGCAAAGCCTGTTAGGCGCCTAAAAACAGGCACCGAGACCACAAAAAACCATCGATTCGAGGGCTTTTCATCACGCATCACAAAGCTCAAAATCGACCCGATCCACCGCGTGCGCCGCGCCAGTTTCGGTGAGGATGAAGACGAAACATCTTCTTATTTCCGAGCGGCCCTCGATCATTGGTTTGAGATGAACCTTTCAGACAACTTTACACAATTCGTACGGCGTGTCAATCCTCTTTCGGAGAGCTTTGCGCAAGTTCTGTATCACGAAGAAAAGATTATGGCTACATTAGTGGAATTCATTGAGAAGAGAGACCAGCTCTCTATGGAGCCGCTATTGAGCTTGCTTGCGCAATTCGCTCGGGATCTGGGCGTCAAGTTCGAAAAGCATTTTGCTACAGCGGTGACACTGGTGTCGTCCGTTGCGGCAACACATCCCGATATTGAGGTCGTTGAATGGAGTTTCACCTGTCTTGCATGGATATTCAAATTTCTTTCTCGTCTGCTGGTGCCGGACCTGCGACAACTGCTGAGTATCATGACTCCATATCTCGGGAAAGAACGACAAAAGCCATTTGTGGCGAGGTTTGCTGCTGAGTCAATGTCGTTCCTTATCAGAAAGGCCGGCCTTGTTTACTACAAGAACAAAGCACCCCTCGAGACTGCCGTCTCATTCCTCTTCGACGACATCTCGAAAGCCGCCGACGATAACAAAGATACCGAGAACTATAGGGAAGGACTGATGACTATGTTCTCCGATGCTATCAGGGGAGTCAACAATGGGCTTCACTCCAATGGCATGGATATCCTCAATTGTGTTCTCAATCAAATACCTCCGACTAACGACAATCACAATGATCCTGCGGAAGTTATATATGGTTTGCTCGTCAGCCTTGTCCACGCCACGACTCCTGATACCTTCGGACCCATCCTCGACACGGTCAAGGCATATATCGAAGATCGCTCAAAATCAACCCCGAATCCCAATTTGTCGGAGTGCTGCCGTATAATGTTCCTGCTTGTGACAACTCGCAAGGGTGTCAGAATCCAAAACTGGAAGATCGTTCATCAGATCCAGGTGTCCCTGCTTCAGCAAGTGTCGGCATCTGACGTCACATCAGCGACGACATCACAGCTTCTTACAAGCGTCGCATGCGCCTTGCAAATGTCCCCTATGGACGAGTTGCTACCTTTCCTTCGTCCTATCATGGACCTGGTGTCCACAGGCCCGCTTTCAAAATACTTCTTATTCTTCTGTGCAACCTTTTCGGAGTGGGGATCAGAGCGATTTCAGAGCCTGCTTCTTTCGCCCTTCCAGAAGTTTATCAACTCATCATGGCAAAAGTCAGAGTGGGAGACTTGTTTCACACTGCTACGTCTGCATGAGGCTGGATGCATCACACCCGAGACTTCGCAACCTGGCTACATTTCCTGCCCAGACGCCTTCAAATCTCGCATCATCGATTCATTGGAGTACCCCACAAAAGATGAAGCCTTCTTGAACGCGCTGGTGAAACTTCCAGCCGCTATCTCTTTGTTTGCAGATTCCGCCACATTGTCCAAGATGGTTTCTAAGTTGCATAGTAATCTCCTAACAGCGTTCCAAGATGGTGCAGCTGAAGGCAACGATGTCCAGATGAAAGGCCTGGTGTTTTTCCTTGGTCAAGGATTCAAGACATATGTCGAACTTGCTAACAAGGTTGGAGAACTTGACTCGAGTCTCCTGAAACCGATTATCGCCACTGCTACAAAATTTTCCCGCCTGCCAGTCTTTTTGGAGGGCGCGCTTGCTTTCATTTCCTCTCTCCCAGACTCCGCGGATCTCGAACATCCTACCTTGGAAGACTTTGCCCAAGACCTAATTGTGAACCTGGCAAGCCCATCACACAGGCTGAGGTTGGTCTCGCTTCAGATCCTACGGGAATTAATAGTTCGCATCGCCAAAGACGATCCTTCGCCCGTGGAATTAGCCATCGAAGTCGAAGAGAGCCCGCTGACAATGGACTCCGTGAGAACCATTTCTATGCATATCCGCAAGCTTGCAATTCTCTACCCGCAAATTGTCCACCGCAGATGGATGGCTACCCTGACCCCATACTTTTGCTTCGGATTGTTTTCGAAGAAGTTGGCACCATTATGGGATGACTCTGCTGCTGCATTGAAGACAATTAGCGAGAATCCCCAGGGCGAGAAGATTGTGTCCGATTTGTCCATTCAGTGGCTGTCAGAGCGAGATTCCGAAGCGCCTAGCGAGGTGCTAGCAGAAGACGACGAAAGCTCTTTCGTCAAGAGCCATTTCAAGTGTTACAATGTTGCAAAGGTCGAAAAAGTACTCGCTGCAAATACCAAGAGCACAGAGGATCCGCATCATGTTCTATCTCAGCAATTCAAACAGGACCACACAATCGCAGACGTCCTTCCCGCTTGCCCGCGGACCCATGCACTCCGTGTCTTGAATGCCGTACCGGGTGTGGCTGAGAAACGCTCGCGCCAGATTGTGCCATTATTCTTGTCATGGGCTTTGCGTGAGGACCAAGATGACGCGCCTCCAACTGGCGAGGCGAAGGTTGAAGATGCTGAGACTGGCGAGAGTGGTGATGCGCAAGTACGTTGGGGATTCCGGGATCGATTGTCCATGCTTGCTTTGTTCGCGCAGTTCCTCAACCCGATTGTCTTATATAAGGCGCCCGAGGTCCATGCGGCAGTCCTAGGGCTTTTGTGCCATGGTAACTCTGACCTGCAGAAACATGCGCTCAAAGTCCTCTTCACCTGGAAAGATCCGAATGTTCGTCCGTATCAAGAAAACCTACTTAATCTCTTAGACGAGGCCAGATTCAAGGACGAGCTGGCTGTGTTCGTGCATGTCGGCGATGAAGAGAGTTTGATTCAACAAGAGCACCGAGCTGTTCTCCTCCCCGTGGTTCTTCGACTACTCTACGGTCGAATGATCTCTAAAGCTGGCTCGGCCGCCGCTGGCCAAGCCGGCAGACGAAAGACCATTCTACGAACTATCTCGCACCTTTCAGAGCACGACTTTGGACTTTTCATCCAGCTCTCCTTCGGTCCTCTTGCAAATGTACACGTTGTCAAAGACAAAAATGAGTGCGATCCGACTGCTTTCCAGGAAGAGTTGACAACCCCAAGAAGGCAGCTGGGTCTGCTTAAGCTGATTGATACTGTCTTTGAGACCCTTCAAACCCGTATGACCGAGTTCGCATCACAGACAATGAATGTGGTTGTGTACTGCTTGGTGCGAGCATGCCGGGGGATTTACAACGACGGTAGCGACCGTCCAGATGAACGCCTCTTACCTGTCCTCCAAAATATTCGTTCAGAATGTATCCGCTGTCTCAATTTGGTCTTCTCGATTGTTCCGGACCACGATTGGACTCCCTACGTCCGTATCATTTTCAAGGAGGTGATTGACAGCAGACTGGATCAGTTCCCCATTGAGACAGCACAGGGTGTTTCAGGCCTTCTACGATTGTTCCACACCTGGGCTGCTTCCCCAAGGTCAACCTTCTACTTGGTGCAGCACAATGATAAGGTCTTGACTAAGGTGATTGACTGTCTCGCGGTCGAGTCTGCCCGTGATGAAGTCAAGAACTTTGTCTTGGATGATGTTCTCATACCGTTGGTTGAGCAGTCTACGGGTAAGAAGCTGCAGGAAACCGAAGAGATGCCTGACTTCCCACCCGAACAAATTAAGTCCGAAGTCCTCTCACCGTACCTGGAGCATGCGCTCTTCCACCTCAGCCGTCTTCTCAAGAGAGGTCCCTCCAAACCCGTTCTTTACTCCGGAGTTAATGCTCTTTCTCTGATCGCCCCCTGCGTTGAATCCTCCAAGGAGACCGCTAGTCTTGTCAGTATTACGACTTATTTGCTTCGTCAGCCCGCAGACCGTGTCAGCCCAAGAACCAAGTCTGGTTTGTTGAAAATTCTCGAACACTTCTTGCCCTTGTGGGACCCCAAGGACGATCCCGAGCTGGCCCAACAAGTGTTTGATGCAGTGTGCTCGATGTTCGACTACTTCAAGGATGACGCGAACAGAGAGACACTGTCCCGTGTCTTTAGTGCTCTTGCTACCCACGACAAGAACCTCAAAGTAGTTGCCGACTTGTGTGCAGATCTAAACTCTCGCTCAGCTAAGAGGCTTGAGCCAGATTATGCGAGACGCTTGCAGGCTTTCAGAATAGTCAGCGACGAATTGTCTCAGACTTTGAGCGCGAAGCAGTGGAGACCTCTTCTCTACAACATGCTTTTCCATTTGAGGGATGAAGACGAGCTTGCTATCCGATCTAGTGCTTCCCATGGTCTAAGACGTTTCATTGACAGAGCGTCCAAGGAACCAGACGAAGAATTTGAGATACTCATCAATGATGTTCTGTTCCCCTCTTTGCAATACGGCATCCGACAGAAATCTGAACTTATTCGCTCGGAAGTCGTCGCTGTCATTGGCTACTTTGTCAAACTCAACCCCACGAGACCCTCTGTGCAGGACATGCACGTTCTTCTCGTCGGTGATGACGAGGAGGCCTCTTTCTTCACCAACATCCTCCACATCCAACAGCACCGCCGGCAACGTGCCTTGCGACGTCTGGCTGGAGAGGCAGCTCAAGGCTGCATTCAGGCTAAGAATTTGGGCACCATTTTCATTCCCCTCATTGAGCATTTCGTCTTCGAGGATGCTGCTGATGAAAATGCCCACAACCTGATTGCAGAAGGTGTTGCGACCCTTGGTGCTCTCTCGGAATGGTTGGAATGGGGCCAATTCCGAGCAAACTTCCGGAGATACCGCAGCTATATGACAAGTAAGCCTGAAAAGGAGAAAAACATCCTCAGACTGCTCGGGCGCATGTCCGATGCGCTGTCTAGTGCAATGGACCGCAAGAAGGGGGTAGAGAAGAAGGCCGATGATGAAGTTGAGAAGATGAATGTTGTCGAGGCCGATGGTGAAGTTGAGAAGATGGATGTTGTCGAGCAGCCGATGTGCACGCTCGCCAAGACTGTTCCTTCTCTTGCGAAGGTTGCAACAGAATTGACCACAAACTTCATTCCTTTCCTGACCAATTACATCCACCACAAGCAAGAGAAGGAGATGAGTATGCGTCTGCCAGCTTCGATTACTACTGTCAAGCTTCTCAAGATTCTCCCCGAAGAAGATCTGGCTATTCGTCTCCCGCCGGTCCTTCTGGATGTCTGCACAACTCTCAAGAGTAAAGCACAGGATTCTCGTGACACTGCACGGAAAACACTCAATGAGATCGCTCTCCTTTTGGGTCCTGTTTATTTTGGCTACATCCTCAAGGAACTTCGCAACGTTCTCGCGCGAGGCTACCAGCTTCACGTTCTCTCATTCACCGTTCATTCCATGCTTGTGACCACCACCGACCACTTCAAGCAAGGAGATCTGGATTACTGTTTGAAAGAGCTCGTCGCGGTTGTGATGGATGATACTTTCGGCACAGTCGGCCAAGAAAAGGACGCTGAAGGATATACTAGCAAAATGCAGGAAGTCAAGAGCAGCAAGAGCTACGACTCTATGGAGCTACTTGCTAAGATTTCAACTATCAGCCAATTGTCAAACCTGGTTAGGCCTTTACAGGCACTTCTGCGCGAAAAGCTCAATACGACTCTCGTCAACAAGCTCGATGAGCTTATGCGAAGAATCAGCATCGGTCTTCTAAGAAACCCTGATGCTGAAAGTCGTGAGATGTTGGTCTTCTGTTACGAAGTCATTAAGGAGGCCTATCGAGACAATGCCCCAGATGCGGGCCCAGCTGCGCCTAAGACCAGGTACGAGGAGCGGTTCTTAATCCGATTACAAGGAGCCAAGCGGGGCGAGCACAGGGGTACGACATCTTCTCATATCTACAAGCTGATCCGATTCTCCCTGGATGTGCTTCGTGCTATCCTCAACAAGTTCAATTCATTGTTGACAGCTTCTAATATGTCAGGATTCATTCCCATCATTGGTGATGCGCTGGTCCAGTCTCAGGAGGAAGTGAAGGTTTCTGCTCTCCGATTGCTCTCCACAATTATCAAGCTTCCTTTGCCAGAGATTGATGAGAACTCACACGTCTATTTCACGGAAGCGGTCAAGCTTGTTAAGGAGTCTCCTAGCACCAACTCTGAAGCGGCACAGGCCTCCCTGAAGTTGATTTCTTCCATGCTGCGTGAACGAAAGGACACCAAGCTCCGTGACGGACATCTTGCATACTTGCTCAAGCGTCTGGCCTCCGACATTGAGGAGCCAGACCGCCAAGGTGTGACTTTCAATTTCATCCGCGCAGTCATGTCCCGCAAGCTCGTCGTTCCCGAGATGTATGAGTTGATGGACAACATCGCGACTATGATGGTGACAAACCAGACTCGGTCGGCCAGGGATCTTGCTCGCGGTACCTACGTCCATTTCCTGATTGAGTATCCACAGGCAAAAAGTCGCTGGAACAAACAGCTCGCTTTCTTCGCAAAGAACCTGGACTACAAGCATCAATCTGGACGTCAGTCAGTTATGGAGGCGATGCACGCGCTCCTTTCAAAGACCGGCCCAGAACTGGCACAGGATATTATCAGTACTTTCTTCCTTCCTATCGTTCTTGCTATGGCAAACGACGAGTCGTCGGAGTGCCGCGAGTTAGCAGGTACATTGCTCGGGGAGTTCTTCAGCCGTGCGGACCGGGAACAGACGAAGACTATCCTTGCTCCCCTTCGGTCGTGGTTGGAGCAGACCAGTAACATGGCTCTGTGCAGTATTGGACTGCAAGCCATGCGGATCTACTTTGAATCCGAGCAGACCGAAAAGGATAAACAGGCACGTTTCGTCATCGACATCCTCCCCGGTTTGATGAAGCCCGTCCTTGATGACCATGAGAATGGCAATTGGGAAGCTCTTTACTATGCCTTGCAACTTTTCACGAAGCTTTGCAAAACGGCTCCCACGCTTGCTCTGAGCCCGGAATGCGCTTCTATCTGGACTTCCATACAGGAGTGCTTGTTCTTCCCCCACACATGGGTCAAGACCTGTGCTGCAAACCTTGTAGGCTTGTGGATGGCTGATCTGGCCAAGACAAATGCTGCTGCTGGTTACGCTTCCCTTCCCTTGACTGGAAGTTCCGGTCTCGCCATTGACAAGCCGGCCATGCTGCAGCTTCTTCGTGCCAGTCTCCGCAGTCTGCGTACCCCCGGCATTGCCGAGGAACTGGCTATGCAGAGTGTACGCAACACTGTTTTCCTTGGACGCTGCTGTTCCCAGAACGGACTTGAACTTCCGAAGTTGGCAGGTGAGGAGGTTGAATCCGAGAATGAGGACGAGGATGAAGATGCTGGCAGTGGAGCTGAAGGAGAGGCAAAGGAAGGAGCCACGGTGGCATACAACAGATCTGCCATCCACTACATATTCAAGCAGGTTTCCTCCCTTTTGCGGCGAGAGACTATCTCCGGTCGGGCAGAAGCCCTCATCCCCAAGACAGCCTCTATTACACTTCTTGCCGCCCTCATCCGCCACGTTGAGGTTGACCAGATCCGTCCTTCTCTTCGTGTCATTCTCATTCCCCTGCAGCATCTGACAGATCCGTCAATCCCGGCGCCACGCTCGTCAGATGAGACCTTCCAGAACACATACAAGTCCCTCGTCTCTAACTGTCATGAGGTCTTGGATCTTCTCCAGAAGAAACTCGGCACCACCGAGTACGTGGAACAGATCTCTAGAGTACAGGCGGCTATCAAGGAACGTCGTGAAGGACGACGGGCCAAGCGTCGCATCGAAGCTGTTTCCGACCCTGAGAAGTATGGACGTGATAAGATGAAGAAGAATGAGCGGAAGAGAGACAAGCGCCGTGAGAAGGGCTTGGAACACCGTGGAAAGAGGCGCGGTTGGTAGAGGATTTAGCATCTATTTGCATGTCTCATGGAATGGTGTTTGATGTTGGCATACGAAAAATTGGGCGTTTTGGTGGAATGGGTTATCATATTATACTTGCATTGTATATACCTTTTCAGAACAATTTGATTTCTTCTGTACAAATCTCGAGTCTTCTCAATGAGAATTTTTGAAGATTCACCGGTCTTTGGAATTGAAAGGATTGACTGAGGATTCAGTCAAAAGTGATCTCTAATGTACAATGCCCCAAAAGTCCTTTTTCTTCGTCGGTGCATGGATCCTGCCATGCTGAGAGTAGAGTCTTTCATCGCCATAACATACACGTCTGTCCAACGAGACAAACAAAACCTATATCCGATATGCATCGAATTCACCAAGAACCCTTATAGGAACCTCGTTTCAACTGAACTCAAGTCGACTTATCATCATTGCGTGATCCCAGTATCTCCTTGCCCTTTAGGTCATAACTCTTCACAGATCCATCCTCCCAGAATTCCAGGTTACCTTCCGTATGGCCGTGGGTCAATGTCTGACCCTTCTCCTTTAAGATATCTTCCAGGGTTGTCTTCTTTTCGAAGAAGACACCAAGGTGATCACTCATGATATGGCGCGAGTCACACGAGGGACACTGGATAAGGACAGTTCCACGGTGGTAACCTTGCTTGGACATACGGTGTGCGGAGCGATGACCACACGGCTTACAAGTGAATGTAATGCGGTAGGCTTCCTCGTTGCTGCGACGCTCCCGGTTTTGTGCTTCCCATTCAGCCTCTTGCTCAGTCTGGCTTTTGGGCGATTCGGTGAGGGGGCGAGGAGCACGGGAGTTGTATCGGAGTTGGGTCTGGGCAAATATGCGCTGAGAGCGAGGAATGATAGATGATGGGCGAGCTGAATGTAAAAAGGGTGATTGGGTTGAAAGGAAGCGTGAGGATTGTGTACGCGCGATAGTAGTGAAGGACTGCGCTTGCGACACAAGGGCATTCAATGGGCGGAGACCCAAGGTGAAAGGGCGCATGATGATGATGATATATGAAGGTATTTGTAAGATGGCGGAGAGAATGAGCTCAAAGGCAATCAAGATATTTGCAACTCAGAGAGCGACTATTGACGAAGGAAAAAAACAACCAGTGAAATGACGATGCTCGGTCAGCGACAGGCGGAACTTTAGAATTTCCGGGGTTGGCCTCCGCGGAGAGAAGAGCGCAGTTCTCCTTCACCTTTTTTTTTGTCTTGTCTCTATTCACTCACTTTCTCTTGGTTTTACTCTGTGTGTGCCTCCAACATGGCAGCAATGAGGGCTCGTCACAAGATTCGAGCTCCCCGAAGGGTTCGTTGACCGCGGGGTCAAGACTATGAAGCTATCTACTAACTATACTTCTAGGGAGTCTCCCATGCCAATACCGAAGATTTCGATTCTATATGGACAGTTCTTGCATCCTCATTGACTGAAATCAATACTAAAAATGCCTCAACCCTGGCATTCGAAGAGATCTACCGCCACGCCTACAAGATCGTGTTGATGATGCGGGCTCCTGATCTTTACGAGCATGTCAAACAACTAGAGCAGGATTGGCTGAAAACTAATGTCCGAACTCTCATTGTCGATTCAATCTCTTCGAGCCTTGTGCGCGCGCAAAAATCCACCGACGTGCAGGACCAGTCGAGTGAGAGGAGGGAGGCGGGGGAGAAGTTTCTCACTGTCCTGAAGGATACTTGGGAAGATCATCAGGTGGGCATGGGCATGGTCACCGATGTTTTGATGTATATGGTGGGTTTTTACGCTCCATGTCAGTGCTCCATTGCTCTAACTTCTTGCGCAGGACCGTATGGTAGCAAGCCGTACTCACCCACCCATCTACGTTGCCTGCATGGCTCTTTTCCGAGACCAAATCTTACGAGCTCCCATCCGTGCCGGCTCTCCTTTGACTGTTATGGATGTGCTCGAATCCACCATACTATTTATGATTCAACTAGAACGGTCTGGGCACATTATTGAGCGGCCGCTCATTCGGCATTGCATCCAAATGTTGGAGGGCCTCTACGAAACTGCTACAGAGGAAGAGAGCTCAAAGCTTTATCTAACTGAGTTTGAGCCAGCCTTTCTCAAAACGAGCAAGGAATTTTACCAAGCAGAAGGGCAACGGTTGTTAGAAATGGGAGATGCTGCTACGTTTTGCCGACTCGCAACCCAGCGGATTGCGGAAGAGGAGGAACGATGCCGTTATATGCTGTCGGTAACGACAGAACCAAAGGTTCTTGAGTTGCTTGACGAGCATCTAATTCGGGACAACATTGAAGAAGTCGTCAATCTCGAGGGAACCGGTGTTCGGCGCATGCTGGATCACGATCAGTTGGAGGAGCTACGGAATGTTTATGAGCTCAATAAAAGAGTCGACAAGAAGAAGCAAGCTTTGACAAAATTGGTCAATACGCGCATTGTGGAAATGGGCAAAGAAATCAATGACTCGTCTATAATCTTACCACAAGTCCCAGCCTCATCAGGAGGGAAAGATGAGAAAGGGGAGAAAAAGCCCGAGAAGACGAAAGAGAAAGAAAAGCCTCAGAATCAGCAAACTGTGTCAGCAATCCGCTGGGTCGACGATATTCTCGGCCTCAAACGGAAATTCGATGACATTTGGGAGCATTCCTTCGCCTCCGACCAGGGCATGCAAGGCTCAATTGGGGCCAGCTTTGCCAACTTCGTCAACATGAACTCACGGAACTCCGAGTACCTGTCTCTTTTCTTCGATGAAAACTTGAAGAAGGGGATCAAAGGAAAGACAGAAAGCGAGGTCGACGTTCTCCTGGACAATGGTATCACATTGTTGCGCTACATTAAGGACAAGGATCTCTTTGAAACCTATTACAAGAAACACCTGTCACGCCGTCTCCTGATGAAACGCTCTGTCAGCATGGATGCAGAAAGACAGATGATTTCCAAGATGAAGATGGAGGTTGGTAACCAGTTTACTCAGCGCATTGAGTCCATGTTCAAGGATATGACCATCTCCGAAGATCTTACCACCAATTACAAGGAGCACGTTGCGCGAACTAGTGATCCCGACCAGAAACCCGTGGACCTGGAGATCAATGTTCTCACCAGTACGATGTGGCCGATGGAAATCATGGCAAGTAGGGAGGGAACGGTCCAATTGCCTTGCATTTTCCCACGGGAAATTGATACCCTGAAGCAAAGCTTTGAGAGGTTTTATCTTGACAAGCACAGTGGCCGCAAACTGTCGTGGCAAGCTAGCATGGGCACTGGTGACATTCGAGCCACGTTCGTGCGTCCCAATGGCAAAGTCCAGCGTTATGAGCTCAATGTATCCACATACGCCATGGTCATTCTGTTATTATTCAACGACGTACCGGACAGCGAAGGTCTCACTTATGAAGAAATCAAAACTCGCACCCGGATCCAAGACCACGACCTAATCCGTAACTTGCAATCGCTCGCCGTTGCCCCAAAGACTCGGGTTTTGAAGAAGGATCCTATGACGAAAGACGTCAAGCCGACTGATCGCTTCCTGTTCAACCATGACTTCCACAGCCCCTTTGTGAAAGTGCGTATCGGAGTTGTCAGCGGCAGTGCGAACAAAGTCGAGAACCAAGATCAGCGCAAGGTCACTGAAAAGAAGATGAATGACGAGCGCAACGGTACCATCGAAGCTGCTATCGTCCGCATTATGAAGTACGACCCTCTCCCCATGACTCCCTTGTATGTGATTTGACGAACTAATACCTGGCAGACAACGCAAAACGCTTACTCATTCTCAACTAATGACTGAGACCCTTTCACAACTCTCTGCTCGCTTTGTTCCAGATGTGAATATGATCAAGCGTCGCATTGAGAGTTTGATTGACCGCGAATACTTGGAGCGAGTCTCCGAAGAGCCACCCACCTACGGGTACGTCGCATAAAGTCGGACAATCTTAGTCGACCATGGCATCTGCCTTCTACCTGATCAACTCATTTTATCTGCTTCTTATGATTTTATGGTCTGGAGTGTCCTTGCATCTCGGTGTTTGCTTTTCTGGTTATACTTGCGTTTCTCTGAGCTTAGCGATCGGCGTCTTCAAGGGATTGAAAGAAATGGGATGGTCATATAAAACCATTTGATTTGATGGAATGGAAACTGCCTTAGCAGGACATGCATGATATCTCTCATCAAGTCCCAGTCATAGAAATAAGCAAATTATATCATAAAACGCCCAAATAACACCCGCCCAGAAACCGCCACTCCGCTATGTAGATGAAGTTAAGTATCAAACCCCCGGCCCAAGAGACTTCGAAGAATCACAATAATTCCACCTCCCCTCTCCCCCAAGCTCCCTTCACACCCTCCCACCTCACAACCCAAACATCCCCCATCCGCATCGTAACGCCCGTATCATCCCCATCTTCCTCTTCACTCCCAACAACAACAGGAACCTCCACCCCGAGGCATCGAACAAAAACGACCTCCTTCAACTCCGGCCCCTGGATCATACTCGTTCCACCGGCATTATCATCCAACCGCCTCAATTGCCGCGGGAACGCTCCCATAAACGACCCCGCGTAGTGGCCCGCCAGAAGGGTCTGGTGAGCATGCAAGAACGAGGATTCCGGCTCCGACAGCGGCGCAAAATCCGTCAGCGCTGATATATCTGGTACGGAGTCTTCGGGCTGCTGGTTCGGATTCTGCGAGGAGGCGGTTGATTGTGTTTGCGATGCGAGGGGATTTTTATTGCGCGAGGCTAGCAGGACTAAGTAGTGCATGCTGTATTTTGTGATTTTGGCAAGTCGGGCTCGTAAAAGACTGCGTACTATGTATTGAGTGCGGGCAAGGTCGGTTTGGAGGATTGAGAGACGGAGGTTGAGGTTGGGGTTATGCGTGTTTGCTGTTGTTGGGAGAGTTGACTCTGACGAGGCGGCTAGATCTTCGATGGTTTCGATCTGTAGCTTTGTATTAGAGGTCTGCTTTGAGGGATCCTATGTAGCTGGTTTGTACCTGTATCCGCACGCGGTCCATTATGCGCTCCATCAGTGGCGCCGGCCACGGTAGTACCTCTGATACGGCGCGTTCGGCTACCCAGAAGCGCGTGAGCAGCTGATGGTCTAGCGCTGCGGACTCCAGGCTGGCGCCTGGGCCGTGGTCCACTGACGCGAGAATGTCGTCGATATCCATGGGCTTGGAGGTTGTCGCATTGAGGAAAATGCAGGGCGGAGCACGATATAGAGCGGAGATCGGGTGCCTGGGGCACTAATCGGCCCGATATATCAACATATCAATGATACATATTCATAAATCTGCGAGGCTGATTTATCAGTGATGATCAAGTTGTCAGATTGATGAGTTTGACTGGCCTAATCCCAAAGCATTTTCCAATTGGGCATTTTGCTCTGAATACGGGGGTGATCAACAGCTTAGACGATATCCCAGTCAATAGATTAAAGCTACACAGCAGTCAACTTCGAAGGCGCAATTCTAAATTGTATCATTTTAAGTCCATTTAGCCATTCAGGTTATATCATTAGAGAGAACAATGTACGAGAGAACGCATAACTTGATGACCGCAAATCCCATTCTTTCAGGGATTCAAGTCTGCACACCAAATGCTCGAACTCGGCTGAACTTCACTCAGTGTGACGCGGCAGAGATGAGGAAGCATTAGTGTAGTAATAGAAACTCAGAAACATTATGCGATCAAATCAAAAAAAAAGGTGTCCATATTTCGCACCCAGTCGACAACGCCATAAACCTAAACCATTAACTTCCGGCATATTTATCGAGTAAAATCGAGTAAAATGCAATATCGGAAGAGCTTCGAAGCCATGTTCATTAAGCTTTGGAAAATGGGTATCTAGCCCTTATTGCCGTTGGGTGGCGGGCCAGCAGGCGGCGAATAAGGTCCACCAACACCGTACGCATTCTGAGGCTGCTGCAACTCGATACCTTGCTGCTGTGGCGGTGCGTTTTGGGCGCCAAAATAGCCGTGGTGTTGAGGGTTCGGGGTGTATTGAGGTGGCGCATTTTGCTGGTAGTAAGGGTCGCCGTAGGGAGGTTGCTGGTAAATGGGTTGGTTTGGTGGAGGAGGTCCCGGGGGAGGAGCCATCCACCCAGTTCCTGTAATGGGGCGTTGGCCATGAGTTCTGCGGCGGCGTGCGTTGAAGCATCTGGAACAAGGGTTGTTAGAATCGAGAATGGGAGACCAGGGAGTAGGACTCACGCGAACCCGAAAAAAAGAAGGAACGCTGCACCGACGATTACGGCAAACGCTACCCAACGGCCCCAAGAGTCCCAGGTAGAATAACAATTATCGTAGTTATAGTTGCTGTGAAGGATTAGTGATATGTCTTTTTAGTAGTCGTCATGGTACTCACCAATATCGACGGGATATGACCGCCATGAGGGGCTAAGTATTTGCGAAAACTCCGTGAAGTGAAAGGAATCCGAGAAGAGCGAGAAAGATGCAACTCTAAGGATGTCAGACGTTCACGTCAATGGGGGCTGGTGAGAGCGGTGGGTCCTTGGCAGTTTAGGCTGCAGGTTTCGGGCTGGGAAAGTACTGTGACTTGTCTGGTCACCTATTTTTGTATGGGAAGATGGGTACCGGTACTTGGTACTTTCAAAGGGAAATTGTGTATAGGTCAAAATCACTGGAACAATTAGAGGAAACTTATAAAAGCAGAAAAGCGAAAGAAAAGCGAAAGAATTTCTAGTCGAATGGACTGGGTGGCGTAGTGAAGGGGGCGCAGGGCTGACGAAGATACCTCGGGAACGAAGTACGAAGTGCGAGGTATATCATTTTCCAATATTCTTGTTATTACTTAAATGAATACGCACATGGCTGTGCATGTACTCGGTTTAATATCTAATAATTCTATGATTCTATATAGTCCCAAATAATGTACTACACTTCAACCCATACTTCCTCAACCTTGAGCACAGTCGATCAATCTAGATCGATGCTCCAATGCAATCTGTGTAGTAAAATTAGCAAAGAGATCCTAGAATATACTATTATATTCACTGACCGGTGGAATGGGCGTCTGCACAGCCGGCAACGCGGTGATACTCGACCCGACATCACTTTTCAGGTCCAGACTCGCCTCTCTCTCAGCCATCCCCTCAGTGTCCTCATCGAGGGTCATCTGCACTGATAAGACATGGATGCGGGGCGACATGTCAGACTTCGGTTTGAATGAGTATGTAGGTAGTACGTCGAATGTCTCTTGTACCCAGGACATCTGCCTGTCCAGGTCCGGCCCGGAGAGACCTGTGTTGCCCTTAGTTTCGAGGGTAGTAGAGGACTTGGTTCGGAAGATACTGCTGGGCCAATCCTTGGTCTTGGCGATCGGGCGCGTACAGCACGCGTTCTTGGATACGCTATCCCAAGTTTCGACCACGCGGTCAGTCCTGAGGAACTGGGATATCTGTTCCTTCATGGTGTCTCGGCCATTTGTGAGCTGGTTGTGGGCCTCCTGTCGCGCCTTAGTGGGTGATTCCACTGTGGATTGGCGGGTTCGAGGGCGCGGGGTGGCGCAGAAGGCTCGGAGTTGTTCTATGGAGATGCTGCGTGTGAGGCGTGAGGGCTGTGAAGGTGCTGTTTTCGGTCGAACTTGGGTCAAGTCGATATCCTCGCTGGCAGATCGTTTGGATAGGAAGGGCTTTGAGAGCCTGTGTTTGAGCTTTTCTGGTGTCGATGGAATGGGAGGTGGTTCATCGCCGGCGCCTGCGCCGACTTCTGCTGTGAGAGCACTGCATGATTTGGTCCGATTCATAAATTTCCGACGAATGCCATCGCTCGGGACCGGTTGATCCGCAGGATTGTCAGATTTGTCTTTAGTTGTGGCGGGATTATCAGACTGCTTCGAAACCGTCGGTGTCTTTGGCTTCGATAATGGATCGTGAGGAAGAGGTTTTTCTGATGTGGGCCGTTCTTTATCAAAGAGTCTTTGTTTTAAGGACTTGTTTCGACTCGCAATCTTGCTGGTTTGTTTGATAAACGATCGCTGTGGTAGTTAGTGCTGTAATTGAAATCCAGCGCCTTGTCAACTCACCACATCCTTTCTACTCGCTATTCCGACCCGCCGTTGCATTTCTGTAGTCGCCAAGCCAAGTTGGGCCAGGGCCTTTTTAAGAGCACTGCCCCGTCGACGAAGCTTTGAGATAGCCACAATCCAACCCTCCATGTTGTCCATCATGGCCTGATGAAAAGCCTTGAGACTCTCAGACTTGAAGCAACCCTCGTCTGTAAGTTTCCGGAAGTAGAACCACAGTGCGCCCATAGCCTCTTTTGCCTTCTGTAGGTCTTTGAGGGAATCTGTGATGGCAAGGGCGAACCTGTCAATGGAATGTTCAATCTGATCATTATAGGCGACCACTGCTAGCCGAAAATTCCGATCTTGCAGCATCTCATCAAAAACATCGAGGTTTCCCAATGGTAGACTGAGGTACTGAATCCGAGTGCGAACGTCGAGTCGAACGATCAAAAAGTCTTCGGTGGTCCTTTCCAAAAAGCCATCCAACTCATTCACATGTTTCTGTAGAATCTTCATGACCGAACCTTCGGATTTAGCCATATTCTTGGCTAGGAGATGTACTCCGAAGACCATTTGGGAGATCAACTTCCAAAACGGATGATATCTATATAGTTCAGTGTCAAGTATAAGCAGTAGTAGGTTAGGTCCTCACTTTTCAGAGGCCCTTTGGCGCCATTTTCGCCCACAAAGCCGCTCGTATTCATCATTCTCTAATAGGTCCCGCCGTCGTGTTTGCGCGTCAATGTCAACAACCCATCTAGATCCTGAACCGTCGGTTGTTTCCACAATTGATTCCTCAAACGGGCCCTGCAGCTGGGTAATCGGATGGGATGGGTAAGGACTGGGTGTGTTTTGGGTGGCTGTTTGCTCGTTCTCAACGGCTTCTTCGGGCGTGCGAACAGGAGTCTGTGGCGGAGAAGCCATGGTCTGTCGTAGTATACGATGTAAATAGTCTCCAAAGTCGCGACTGCACACTTTAGACTGACCCCCCAGCGAATTGCGAACTAGTCTGCAATAATATTGAAGCTTTGATATAATGCAGTCCCCCTATCCATTTATAAAATCACAATCGCAACCAGCCCAAAGTGACTTTTGTCATGGTGAAGATGGCTGGTGTCTGAATCATGCAAGGTACCACTCTATATCGGATCAGAAAGATAAAGAATCAATAGAAGTGGATCTGACTTACTCTGGCTCTGGGTAAACGATAACTTGGGTCCTGCGCAGTCTGAAGACAAGTTTCACCAGTGAAACACAGCTTCGAGGTACACCTGGGAGGATAGACGATGTTATGGCCCCTTTGAACAAAGAACGCGTATAAATTATCGGAGAAGATGCCATGAGAGGAAATTGCGCACATCGCTACGGACATAAATCTTACTTTTTGCCTAAATTTTAATCTTTCCGTGCCTTTGTCCTTATTATGGGGCTGTTATTACGTGGGTAGCCAGGGGGTTGACACTGTCTTTGGCTATATGATTTCCACCTATTCCCACTTATTCCCACTTATTCCCACTTAACACAAGACATCCGCCAATGAGCAGCCGCCAATGTATCGCGGAAATGAATGGAAATGAATTCAAACCACCCGAGTTGGGCTGGGACGATCTCGGAGTCTGAGACCACGGCAGACATAATTTCGGATCAATGGTTTTTCCGTTTGAGTTCTATATTAGAGGCTCCTTGGATGTTCCCGTTAGGGGCTTGTTTCAACTATTGGTTTATATTGGAATTGAAATGTCGTGGATACAATGTGGTTGGTGAACTCCCACCTCTTTGGTTCTTTCTTAGATTCTAGAGAAGAGGAACAGGATATGATATGGGGATGGCGCCCCAAGTATATTGTGGTGCGATTCAAGAAATCGGCTGTTCTAGAAGCCCCTTCAAAACCGGCTATATAAAGTATTAATCATTATAGAGTAGATAATATACTGTTTGATGTGTTTGGACCAATCTCGAGTGCCTTAGGCATCGGCTTATACTTCCCCATCTATGAAACTGATGGTTAATATACAAGAAACTATCCTTTAGAGATGCATATACTATATAGTTTGCATTAGGATAAGCTTTTGGCTCGACCTTAAAATCCAATCCTATACTCCGTATGGGCTTTCTATCTAAATATCTCCGTAGGACATTCCTATTTAGGCACTCCCGGAGTCCCGAGGCCTTGGCATTTCAACTTAACAGCCGCATGTGCTAACAGGGCCAAGCTACGTAAACATCGCTTATTGGAACTACAATGTACCATACGAAAGTACACAGGCTCTTTCGTTTTGCCTCATCTATCATAGCTCGAAATAGGTGGGGTTGGCGATAAATATTGTTCTACACATATGATTGGATATTACATGCCATACCGGTTGTTAGTTGGAGTACAGGTGATACCTGTAAATACCTTGGATAAATTGTATCAAATCCAACCATCGAGCATATATATTGGAGCACGTCATAATAATTTTCTCGAAAGACGACATCATGGTCTCCTTACCTAGAATTCTGAGCCAATGGGAATCAGTGAGATCGGTGAGATCGGTGAGATCCCTGTTAATAAACACAGCCTACAAAGTACCAGCTAGTGTCGATCTTTTCCCCTCTGTACTCGAATCAGTGTACCTGCAATTCTTACTGGAGCTTTCAGACGCCCCCCTCTTGAAGCGATGCTACCATGCCCCGGAACTCCTACGGAGATCACAAACTAAAGTGCTCCAGTACAAGACCGAGCTTTTCCAGAGAAAACCATTGCAGCCTAATACTCTTATCATGCACCGTTGATTTCCCCTCTTCTGGGAGCTATAAGTATCCCCGCATGCACCCTCTGTAATCGGTACGTGGGACGTGTAGCTCATTATGCGTGTTTCTCAGTGGATTCCCTTGCTGCCTGCTGTGGCGGCACTCGCGGTGCCATCAGATAGCTTGGAGGCCTTCTTCCGCCGTCAGCTGCCCGATCACCCAACACACGTCAAGACTATCAAGACGGCTAATAATGTCACTATTCGCTACAAAGAGCCTGGCAAAGAGGGTGTGTGTGAGACTACCCCAGGTGTCAAATCTTATGCAGGCTATGTCGACCTCTCACCCACAGAACACACTTTCTTCTGGTTTTTCGAGGCTCGTCATGACCCGCAGAATGCGCCAATTACATTGTGGTTGAATGGTGGACCGGGTAGTGACTCTTTGATCGGATTGTTCGAGGAACTGGGTCCTTGTGGTGTCAACAAGAACAATGAATCTTATATCAACAAGCACTCATGGAATGAGGTCTCGAATATGCTGTTTCTCTCTCAGCCACTGGGTGTTGGTATGGATACCTTTCTGTCCTCTCTTCTCTTTTTCTGGATATCCGGCTAATATCATCACAGGTTTCTCCTATGCTGAGAAAGCGCCCGGCACCCTGAACCCTATCACAGGTTCATATGAAGAACCCTCCTTTGCAGGCATCGATGGTCGCTATCCAGTCATCAATGCCACTGCAATTGATACAACTGACCTCGCTGCTAAAGCTACATGGGAAGTCCTGCAGGGATTCCTAGGTGGTCTCCCCAAGCTGGACTCGAGAATCAAATCAAAGAGCTTTAATTTGTGGACCGAAAGCTATGGAGGGTGAGCTCGCTCTATAACTTTTGGAATATTCCTTGATGTATGATTACTGACTTTCTTTCAGACATTATGGCCCTGCCGTGAGTCAATTGCCTAACTCATATCTCCCTAAAATTCTAACCCTGGCAGTTCTTCGATCACTTCTATGAAGAGAACCTTAAGATCGCCAACGGCACTCACGAGGGCATTCAACTGGACTTTAACACCTTAGGTATTATAAACGGTATCATCGATGAAGGTATCCAAGCCAAGTATTACCCTGAATTTGCCGTGCACAACACCTATGGCATCAAGGCTGTAAGTCTTCAGAGCTTCAATGGTATCATTACACACTAACCAAACATACAGGTCAATGAAACGGTCTACAACTACATGAAATTTGCCAATGAGATGCCAAACGGCTGCCAGGATCAAGTCGCAACCTGCAAGTATACCAACCGCACCTCGCTGTCCGACTATGCACTTTGCAGCGAAGCAACCAGCATGTGCCGGGACAATGTCGGTATGTGAAGCTCCATATACCTCGGCCGGCTATAACACCACCTAAGTGACTAAATAACTAACAACATCGCCAATACAGAGGGCCCTTATTACGTCTTCAGCGGCCGAGGCACCTACGACATCCGCCACCCAAGCGACGACCCAACCCCAGAAAGCTACTACGCAAATTACCTTGCCAAAGACTCCGTAATGAACGCCCTAGGCGTCGACGTCAATTACACGCAGTCCAACAACGAAGTCTACTTCGCCTTCCAACAAGCAGGCGACTTCGTCTGGCCCAACTTCCTCGAAGACCTAGAAGACATCCTCTCGCGCCCCGTCCGCGTTGCCCTCATCTACGGCGATGCAGACTACATCTGCAACTGGTTCGGTGGTGAGGCCATCTCTCTAGCGGCAAAATACAAGCACAGTAAGCAATTCCAGAAGGCGGGCTATGCTCCCTTCCTCGTCGATGGCGTCGAGTATGGTGAGACGAGGGAGTATGGTAATTTCTCCTTTACTCGTGTCTATGAGGCTGGTCATGAGGTGCCGTATTATCAACCCAAGGCTTCGTTGCAGCTATTTAATCGTACGCTGAATGGGTGGGAATTGCCCAGGGGAGATAAGAAGTTGAAGCCCAATTCTGGCTCGACTGGGCCCAAGTCGGCCACTCACACGCAGTCTTCGGTGCCGTTGCCGACGCCTACAAAGGCTTAATTTTAGGGGTTTAAACTGGTGCGAAAGGTCCATAGATCAATCTGAGTATATGATGATAATATGAAATAGCGTTGTGGTATGGGACATTATATTATGTACGCATTTAGATAGACAAATCCCCCGAACCATATCAGACCTAAAGAACACCCCTAAGTAAAAAAGCCCCAGCATCTAAAAGCAGAGCCCCCGAAATCATGTACAAGATCATTAGAAAAGTGAGATTCACTGACATTAAGTATTCGTTGAAAATTGTTAATCCTCACAACCCGACAGGCAGTTTTGGACCAGGATTTTAGTGAGTAGAACAAAGGCGACACGCGTCGTAAATGGACATATTGTTGCACCATGGTGAGCATAAAGAAGGTGATTAAATCGAATATTTATCGCACGGTGGTATATCTGATTGGTGGGGATTGCTGATTCCCTCGACGATTGATTATTTGGTGGTAGTCTCCTCGTGAGAGTCGCGAATAGTGTCGGTAGGAGTGTGTATTTCGGTATGAGGCTTATCATCAGACGTTTTAGTAGCATGGCCTAGGACTTCGGCGGCGGTTTCGTCGGAGAATCGTAGATCGTCCTCGACGGTAGTGCTATCCTTGACCTTGAAGAAGATCACAGGCGATGCAATAAGCATACTGCCGACCAGCATACCCCAGCAAGTCGCAAATTCTGTCATGTATGCGGTCTCATGTGCATCCAGGCTGAGAGTTCGTTAGTCCTGGAAAGAGTAAAGAGGAAAAAGAGCAGGGGTTGCTTACCTCCACATTCCAGCAGCGCCAGCAGATTGAATACCCTTGTAGAAACCAGCAAAGTTGGCCAACTTGCGGCTGTTGTTGGAGAGAGAACCCATGTACCAATAAGTGCAGGTTTGGAAAGCAGCATCGTAGAATCCATAGAACATGTAAAGGAACATGGGTCCAACGTAGCCTCTGTCGGCGAAATCCATGCCGAGACCTGTAGTTTCCCGCGTATATTTCTTCTGGAATGCATACCCTCCCCCCAAATGCTCATGGTGATAGCGAGGAGAATGCCGAAGTTAAGTTTGGCGCGCCATGGACGCGAAACATTCAAATCCAATAATTGGCCGAAGACGAATGCACCCACCATCTGCATCAGCCAGTACAGAAGACTGTTCAGGGCTCGAGTGCGAACATTGAAATAGGCGAGATTGACGGCGTTGAAATGATATGCGTAAAACCAGTTGCTGGCCAGAAACATGGGGAACATCAGCACAATGTACGAATCATTGATCAATGTCTCCCAGAGACCCCAAAACTCGGACTTCCAGGTTGGATTTTTGATCGCGATAACGCGCGAGCCATCCTTACGCATGACGTGCTTGCAATCGACGAGACACCAGCAGAGAACAAAGCCAACGGCCATGAGAACAAGGAAGGCAATGTAGGTGCCATTGTTGACATTTCCGGCGGTCGAGTGCATGTTCTGACCGAGAGGGACCTGCTGATATCAGTTTATTGTTTTGGGAGTATTGAAGGTGTGCAAGTGGACGTACCAGACTACCGATGACACCGCCCAAGTTGAAAATCACCCAGAAGATAGCAATGTACTTTCCCTTCTCGTTCTCATGTGGATAACTTAACATGACCGCACCCTGAGCACACCACAGCAAACCAGCACAGATACCGAGCAGGGCTCCGGCGAAGATGAGGAAGGCCGCATTTTGGTTGATATTGTACGAGAGGAGCGAGGCAACGTAGAGGAAGTATCCGAAGCCTCCTAGGGACAGGGTGAGTCGCAAGCCAATGCGATTGGCAATGGAGCCGGCGAAGAAACCGACTACTGCAAAAGTACTGTATAAGGCAGTATTGGCGTTGTTCACATCGTGAGTATTAATTTGACCGCCGCCGCCGAGACCACTGACGGCGTTGAACATGCCGGGACATAAAAAACAGACAAATGACACCAGGTATAGTTGGACCTCTGGTGAGGCAAAGTAGGGAGCTTCCCATTTGCCAATCTTGAATAGTGGCTTGTACATCCATGCGGGGCCTATCACCGATTGGTCCACACCTGATTCAGGGTCCTGCGGAGCAGACACAGCCGTGGACCTAGAGGCATATTGTTCTGTCGGCCCTTCTGTCTGTTTCTCGGCTTCTTGCTTCTCGGGCTCTGTCATGGTTGTTGGAAAATCTACAGGGACCAAAAAAAAAAAAAGATGTGAATCAACAAGCGAATCAAGGGGCCCGAAGAATGTTTCCCCACGTGAGAAACAAGGTGAAGAACCGTGAAGAATGTAGATGATCCCTTGCCAAGATCAATTCTAGAATAAAGGGAGTTTAGAAAGCTAAGGCTAATACGGAGTACGGAGTAGACAAAGTAATATAACCGAGGGTTATTTGTCTTATCTGAGAGGATCACTCGATGCGACATACGTACATTGGGGTCATTGGATCAGCTGTGCGGGGAAAGAAAGATGGAGAGAGCAGTGTCATATTATATAATTGAGTAACGTGAGAGATCCCACGATGTGACGGAGCTGTTGGGATGTTGCATTGAAACAAAAAGGAACAGAGACCCGCATCCGGTGTATAAGATACCGTATCGTTAGACCCGGGTCTGGTAATTTACGGGCCGAGTATCGCGGTGTAATATATAATACAACCAGTACAAGGGTATACTATACATTGTATACCACATCGGCATGCCGAATGTCACTCAGTCTACTGTTACATCATTGTACCTCTATCTTTATGTACCTGGACTTTCCCCCCTCTTCTTTCTGTTTTCTTTTTTTCAACCATAGGAAACATTCTCAAGAAACAATAAACAATGCCGGGCAAGACTTCTACCCCGCGCATTACCAAGTTCACCAACTGCCGTTTGGTATGCGGTTTGAACTTGGTCGAGCAAGACCTATGGATTGATTCTCTGACTGGAAAGATTCTTAAGGATCAAGAGGCTTTCTATGGATCGCACCTGACTCCCGACGAGATCATCGATCTCGGTGGCCGTATCGTTGCCCCGGGTATGATCGATGTCCAGTTAAACGGTGCCCATGGCTTTGATTTCTCCGTACCCTGTGAGACAAAGGAGGAATACGATGAGGGTTTGCGCATGGTGAATCGTGGACTGGCCCGTACCGGTGTCACTTCCTACCTGCCAACGCTCGTGAGCTCCACCCCCGAGGTGTACTGGAAGGTAAGCAAAGCGCATGGTGCTTAGAACAGCAACTTTCCCCAAACAAACAAAAATAATTAATCTTTCTTCTTTCAGGTCCTCCCCTCCCTGGGCCCTACAGCAGGAACCCATACCCCCCAAGATGGTGCCGAGTCACTAGGTGCACACGCCGAAGGTCCCTTTATCAGCCCCGGCCGCAACGGCATCCATAAGCCCGAAGTGCTGCGCGCCGCAGAAACTTTTGACGATCTCATCCACTGCTACGGCGCTGAGAATATGGGCAAGGATAGCCCGATCAAGATGATCACGGCCGCTCCCGAAGTCGGCAACATGATGGCCCACATCCCCGAAATCGCCAAGGACAACAAAATCATCTACTCAATCGGCCACTCCGACGCAACCTATGAGCAGGCTGTTCAAGCCACACACCAGGGTGCCCGCATGATTACCCACCTGTTCAATGCCATGCGTCCCTTCTACCACCGTAACCCCGGTATCTTCGGTCTGCTGGGACAGAGTGAGCGCCGCAGGCCATTTTACGGTGTTATCGCCGATGGTATCCACTTGCATCCCACTTCCATCAAGATCGCATACAATGCGCACCCGGATGGGTTGATCTTGGTTACCGATGCGATGCGTCTGTGTGGTCTGCCGGACGGTGTCTATGATTGGACGAATGGGGAGCGGATTGTCAAGACTGGTGCGCGGTTAACGCTTGAAGGCTCTGATAAGATTGCTGGGTCTTCGGCAACGCTCATCGAGTGTGTTAACAACTTCCGTCGTTGGTCGGGTGCGTCGACGGCGGCGGCTATCAATGCTGTTACTGCCGCGCCGGCGCGTCTGCTGAATTTGGAGGGTGTTAAGGGGTCATTAGAAAGTGGTGCTGATGCCGATCTCATCGTGTTGGGTGAGAGTGAGGATCCCTTCTCTGGGCCGACCTTGACGGTTGATCAGGTGTGGAAGCTGGGTGCTAAGATCCACGATACTGACAAGACTGCCGTGGCAGTATGAGGGTTTAGATCTTGGATACCATCTGTGTTATTTTCTTTGGTTTCATTTCAGCATATGTTCAACAGCTCTTTTATCTCGGTTAGTTGGCTACAGGCGTTTTTTGAGGTTGGGTTTTTTGCATTGAGCATATGCAAGCGCATGGTCATAGCGCCCTGCACCATCTTCAGTTCGAATATTTGTTCTAACATTTTCAAGTTCAAAATTCAGAGAGGAACTTAGTTTCATATATCAAGTTTATACATAGCTTTCTATGTGTTTGTATATATGTCGGATAAATAAAATGTCCAGGTCTGCTCGCAGACACTGGGGAGAACCAGACTCGAAAGATGCCCGCATTCAAAGGCGATCCGCCGCGCCCGACTCCAACGGGGCTATGCGCCGCTCGCTCATATGCTAGAATAAACCCAAAATAGGACCGAAATGAAGAAAAAAAACTTTTACAGGCATATCAGATCTTTGACACGTAATAAGCGCCTGCTTTACAGACGGGGCTGGTTGCGAGACCAACCGGCCTCGCCAGCAATCAGCTCGGCGGCACGCTCACCAATGGTCAGTACTGTTAACATAGGGTTAACGGTAGGCATCTCAGGGAAGACACCAGCATCGGCGATACGGATGCCCTTCAGACCGCGGACCTTCAGCGTGGGGTCCACAACCGCCATGGGGTCGCTGGCAACGTTACCCATCTTGGTAGTACCAGCGGGGTGGTAAACAGTGTGGGCGACACGACGGCCGTACTCGGACAGCTCCTCGTCGGTCTGCACCTTGGGGCCGGGGGCAACCTCGCGCTTGATCCACTCCTTGAAAGGAGACTCCTTGGCAATCTCACGAGCGGCCTTGAGACCCGCTACGATGGTGGCGGCGTCGTAGCCCTCAGGGTCGGTGAAGTAGCGGAAGTCCAGCGAGGGCTTCACGGAGGGATCGGCGGACGTCAAGAAGAGACGACCGCGAGAGCGGGGGCGGGGAATATTGGGGGTCATGCAGAAGGCGTTCACGGGCTCGTCATATCCGAGACGAGTGGTGTTCAGGGTGAATGGAATCTGGTAGCAGTGCATCATCACATCGGCGATCTTGCCGTCGTGGCCAGCGGCGTTGGGCAGCTCGCGGCGCAAGAAGATACCGGCGTCAGAGTCCATGGTGGTCATGTTGTGATCCACGGGGCTATTGAGCTCCCACATGATGATGCTCTCGGGGTGGTCCAGCAGGTTTTCACCGACACCGGGGAGATCCTTCACAACGGGAATACCGAGTTCGGACAGCTGCTCGCGGGGACCAAGACCGGAGAGCAACATCAGGCGAGGGGTGTCGACAGCTCCGGCACACAGAATGGTCTCCTTCTTAGCACGCAGAGTGTGTTTGACACCAGACTGCAGAGTGACGTCAACACCGGTGACGGTGTCACCCTCGACGTTAACCTTGCTAACCCATGCGTTGGTGAGAATAGTCAAGTTGGGGCGTTTCTCATCACCACGGAGAATGGGATGGATGTAGGCGACACTGGCACTGCTGCGGCGGCCGTCATCAGGGTTGTAGGAGATGTTGAAGAATCCGACACCCTCAGTCAGCGCACCGGTCTTACGGATATCGTCGTTGAAGTTCTCAATGACAGGGATTTTCATGGCGGTAGAGCAGGCCTGGATCCAGTCCTTGCATAGCTGATTACGGTGGCGGCCATGCACAGGCTGGATAGTGTTGCGCAGGTTATCAATGATACGAGTAAAGGTCTCAAAGTCCCAGCCCTTGCAACCCTTGGCAACCCATTGGCGGCAATCATACTCGAAGGGACGGAAAGAGATGAGAGTGTTGTGGCTAGAGCAACCACCCAAGACCTTTGCGCGGGAGTGACGGATATGACTGTTACCTGCGGGGAGAGTCAGCATAAGCTCATTCCATTCAAATCTCGGGGAAAGGGTGTCTAACCCATAGGCTGCTCGGTGGTGCCGTAGTCGTAATCAAGCTCACCTCCGAGCAGGTTGAGCCATTCCTTCAGGTTCAAAACGCGGTCGTCCATGAAATCACTGGGACCTCCCTCAATAACCAGAGTGCGCTTGTTGGGGAGGTACTCAGCCAGGCGTGCGGCGATCACACAACCTGCAGTACCACCGCCAACGACAATGTAGTCGTAGCTGTTGACATCGACAGCAGGGAGCTCGTTAGTGGTGGCCATGTTGAATACCGGGGGAATATATGAAGTGAGAAAAGAGAGAAGAAGGAACCGCCTTTTTCTAAATAGAATTTTTCAGTTCGGGGGTGGTCTGATCGGAGAAAGGTCTTGGATCCAATCTCTGGTGATTATCTCCATTTCATTCTTTTTTTTTTTTCTTCTTTTCGTTAGACTCGGCGAACCTTGGCTTCTGAGTGGTGGCGATCGATAAATGTGGAGACAGGGCCCTGTCAGCGATCCTCTTAGATAATTTGGTCCGACTCTCCCGTCAGTGGCCGAGTGGTGGGCGCTTTAACGTAGATTCAAGTGAGATCTTGAACAAGATAGGAATTCCCTTCCGTGGAGATAAGGTACGCTACTGTCCGTCTCTAAGGAATACCTTTCTCAGTATGAAATTCCCGAGGGGACTTTCGAGCCATTCAGAGTAAGCGGAAATGCAAGTCTGACCCCGCGTAGAGAGATTCAGCCATGTCAAGCCACCGTCAGCCGCTGACCGGATGGCGTACTTAGTACTTGGCCATTACGTATTAATATGCGTGGCGGCCGAGTACCGAGTACCTAATCGAATTAAGTAGCGCGCTAAGCCCCAATTTTCTTCGGAGAAACTATAAGGCGAGATTCTTCTGTTCTTCCCCGTCTATCGCCTCTCTTATCTTTTGTTCTATACGCACACCATGTCACTCTCATTCCCACCTCGTCAGCTCTATTACGACGGAAAGGTCCAAGCCGCGACCTCGGGCAAATCATTCCAGACTCTCAATCCCGCCACGGCAACTCCGTTGGCCGATATCCAGATCGCCTCCAACGCGGACGTCGATGCCGCTATTGCTGCTGCCGATCGCGCATTTCCATCATGGGCGCAGACCCCACTAATTGCACGCGCCCGGATTCTTCACAAGGCTGCTTCCCTCCTACGAGAGCGGAACGATGAAATTGCACGCGTCGAGACTTTGGACTCCGGCAAGGCTTTCACTGAGACTAGCACCGTCGACGTCACCACTGGCGCCGATGTTTTGGAGTACTATGCCAACTTCATTGGTGGTGGTGGTCTCAACGGTGAGACTACTCAACTCCGCGAGGATGCGTGGGTATACACTAAGAAGGCTCCTTTGGGTGTGTGTGCCGGCATTGGTGCTTGGAACTACCCCATCCAAATGTAAGTTTTTCGACCCTGTATTTGCAGCAAAGAAAAAAACGCTGACTTGGGTATCGTTTCCTAGTGCCCTCTGGAAATCCGCTGCTTGTTTGGCCGCTGGTAACACAATGATCTATAAGCCCAGTGAATTCACCCCGCTTCACGGTCAGACCCTCGCGGAAATCTACACCGAGGCCGGCCTTCCCGACGGTGTCTTCAACGTGGTCAACGGTGCTGGTGATGTTGGTGCATACCTGACCGGCCACCCACTTATCGCCAAGGTCTCCTTCACCGGCCAAGTGGCAACTGGTATGAAGGTCGCAGGTGCCGCCTCCGGCAGCATGAAATACGTGACAATGGAGCTGGGTGGTAAAAGCCCTTTGATTGTCTGCCCAGACGCCGAGCTGGAGAGTGCCGTCGATGGCGCCATGATGGCCAACTTCTACAGCACAGGTCAGGTCTGCACCAACGGCACCCGGGTCTTCGTCCCGCGTAGCATGAAGGATGCTTTTGAGAAGAGCCTGCTCGAGAAGATCCAATATGTGCGGGCTGGCCCGCTCTTTGACGAGCAGACCAACTTCGGTCCCCTCAGTTCCAAACTCCACTACGACAAGGTCGTCACATATATTCGCCACGGTATTGAGTCTGACCGCGCCACCCTGCTCTGTGGTGGTGTCGAGAAGCCCTCGGTGCCCAAGGACCTGCAGGCCGGCTACTGGGTCAAGCCGACCATTTTCACCGACTGCACTGACTCCATGAGAATTGTCAAGGAAGAAATCTTCGGTCCCGTTATGTCCATCCTGTACTATGACACCATCGAGGAGGCTGTGCGACGCGCCAATAATACTGAGCTCGGTCTCGCCGCCGGCGTCTTCACTAAGGATTTGAACCAGGCTCACCGCATCATTGACCAGCTACAGGCTGGCATTACCTGGGTGAACACGTGGGGCGAGAGCCCTGCTGAAATGGCCGTCGGTGGCTGGAAGAAGAGCGGTCTGGGCGTGGAGAATGGTCGTCGCGGTATTGAGGCTTGGCTGCAGAACAAGAGCACTCTGGTTGATATGAGCGGTGCCGTGGTCAGTGTCTTCGCCAAGCTATAATCTTAATATGTCATGCAACGTACGACTCAAAAGCAATGATTATAGAATGTACAGAATATGGAACTTTTTGGAGCGCCACAATGTCAGCAAGTCTTCTAGCTTTTTCTATTCCTCATTCTATTGCCTGAGTATCTATACATTCACATAATGAGTATCTGGAAAAATACCGACCAGGGTCCGCGCGGCCGAACACACATATATATATACATACAAAATACTGAACGACATGGCGCTCCACCATAAATTTGGGAATTCAGATTAATTGTACACAGCTCGGATCGTCTGTAGCTAAAAAGGTTGATAATATCATTTAGCCCCTAGAAAAAGCGCATCTATCAAGTCGGGAATAATCGAAATGACCAGCGAAACTCCTTGAATAACACCCATGCATGGACGATGTAAGCCAAAGCAATGAAAGAGACCATGCAGATATGATTTGCAAAGACAGAACCCATATTCCCGCCCGAAAATAAGAATCGAAAAGAAAAACCCCAAAATGAAAATGCCACAAGTTTGAAAGGTGTTCACCATCAGAGTGTAGTAATTCTGGTGCCCATGCGATCAAAGACAAGGTCGCTCTTCAGCGCACCGTCAATACCGCCAATCGCCGAGTCAACCAGACGCGAGGACATGCTATCCGGAGTGAGCTCCTCTTCCTCCAGTGCGCGGCGGTGCAGCTCAGTGTTGATGCGGAGATCTTTGGGCGTCTTCTCGGGGGTTCCATCGGGAGTAGGCTGCTGGGACTTGGGGGTCTTGGCAGGGAGTGGGGCCGGGACGTAGGTCCGAGGACGGTAAACGAGAGCGGGTCCCTGGGTGCGGGCGTCGGTCCCGGCCTGCTCGATAGATTCGAAGTATCGCACAGTTTTGACCTTGAGTTCGAGAGTAGCGTCACGGTCGCAGACAACGAGCGGGTGCTGGTGCAGCTGCAAAGCGGAAAGTGTCCACATGTGATTGATGCCTTCTTCAAGGCCCTTCTGCACGGCGAATGCCTTGTGCGCTCCGGTGGCTACAATCACCACTTCCCGGGAATCCATGATGGTCTGAATACCGACAGTCATGGCCATGCGAGGCACCTTGTTGGTGTCACCGCCGAAGAAGCGAGAGTTTGCTAGGATGGTGTCGTAGGCCAGTGTCTTGACGCGAGTGCGGCTGTTCAGCGAGGAGCCTGGCTCATTGAAGGCAATATGGCCATCTGGTCCGACGCCGCCCAGGAAAAGCTCGATACCACCATAGCGGGCGATGCGTGCTTCAAATGATGCACACTCGGCTACAGGATCAGCCGCGTTGCCATCCAGGATGTTGATGTTCTGCGGGGGGATGTCCACGTGGGAAAAGAAGTGCTTGTACATGAAGCTGTGATAGGACTCGGGGTGATCGCGAGGCAGACCGACATATTCATCCTATATCGGGGTTAGTGGGTTGTTTTGTCCATGATTGTTGTTGCGCATACCATGTTGAAAGTCACGACATTCTTAAAGGAGATCTCGCCGGCGCGATGACGCTGCACGAGGATCTTGTAGATGAGCTCAGGGCTGCTACCGGTGGGCACACCAAGCACAAATGGGTGCTCGGGAGTCGGATTGAATGCCTTGATGCGGCCTAAGGTGAAATATTTAGTCTCAGCATGGATTGCGCGCATCGGCGCATGGAAGACCTGGGGTTCAGCTTACTGATAATATAGTCTGCGATATACACAGACACCTCGCTGGGATCTTCTCTGATAATGACACGCCTATGAGAAGCAAGTTAGTACGGAGCCATAATGCGATATATAGATGTCACGCACATAATTACGTCAGGGTGAGTTGGAGTTAGAGGTGAGGAAGAAGGAGAGGAGAAAGTTGGTATCTAAAGGAAATAAAAGAGATAGGAAAAGGGACGGGTTACAGTCTAGTGGAGTGTACAGTGACAAAAAAGAACGTCGTATAGAGAGCCACGTGCTATAGTAAATGTATCATTGCCCATGACAGTCAGATAGGGTCATTTGGATCAACTGACTGGTTAATATCTGCGGGTAACCGTGGCTTGGCAAGGGAAGAATCCACTGCGATAGTCAAATAGCCATTGACCTCATTCGGCCGATTCCAAAATTTCTATCAAAGTCCACTCGGGTGTATTCCATGTGGCCTAACAGTCAGGCCGAATGTGCGATGACGCCGAAAAAAATGGGAAACAGGCATTCTGATTGGTGTATGGAGCTCCATAGTACACATGGTAGTCTGAAGGTTCCATTTGAGAAGTGTCGGAGTTGCATCCGGTGATATCGGCAAAAGCTGGAGAAATAGAGTGCTCAGTGCAACCCTGGACGTTGTAGCGTCGTAGCCGCCCCGGTATGGTATGGGTATGGGTATATACAGCACGTGACTCAATACGCGGACCCCCATTACGGTTACATTACAGATCACGTGGTTAACAGGGGGGGTCCCGTTGTGACCAGGGGACTCTGCCCCGGTGGATTATGATGAGTTAGCAATTAATATCCATCCATAGGTAGATTGTATATCTATACAATTAAAAGATGTACTTTTGACTCTGAAGATCAATCATCTATTTCAATACATAATGTAGATGCCAAGGTCCCGTGACCCTGCTAACAGCGGGGGGGCACCTATCTCCTTATCTCTAGTCTCAATTCTTCCCCGACTTTTGCGGCTCTGGGGTGAAAGACAAAGCTCCCGAGGTCCAATTTTTGACTCTTGCAACCCTTCTACCCCCTGTCACCTGACTACCCGCGTGCACTGGCTTCATATTCCCTACCTGTCAGACGTTTGCGGTGTCCACACCTTGATCCTCCGACACTGCACCCTTTGCATCCTACCTTTCTGGGCCGCTGCAGGCATTCCTCCTCGGGCCATGGCCCGGAAAGAGGACATGCTGCCCCCGGGCTGGGAGGACCTAGATAGGTATGTCGATCTTCTTTTCCCCTTGGCTCATCCCCTATCAGCGTTAATTCTACCCCTCTTCTCTTTCCAATCTGCCTGGGTACCTCCCTTCACTGTGGAACCTTGGTCAATCTGGGGATGAGGTTCTTTTAGACTATTTCCGCTTTAGGAAATATGACACCTCGGGCGCGCTGACATGGCACAGGCAGATGGGTCAGCTCTTTATGATGGGCTTTGATGGGACTTCGGTCAATCCACAGATTCGATCACTCATTGAGAATTACCACTTGGGCGCTGTGCTGCTATCTGCTAAAAATCTGAAATGTATCTTTCAAGAGGGCCCTTGCCATCAACTTGGACACTCACTAACGCGCTTACAGCGGCCGAGGAGACAACCAGATTAGTTCTGGAGTTACAAACCATTGCGCGTGATGCAGGTCATCTCGTCCCCTTACTAATTGCCCTGGACCAGGAGAATGGTGGTGTCAACAGTTTATATGATGAGATATATATTCGTCAGTTTCCTAGTACAATGGGAATTGCAGCCACTGGGTCCAAATCCTTAGCCCACGAAGTGGCTTTTGCGACAGCACAGGAGCTGAAGGCTGTCGGAGTCAATTGGATCTTAGGACCTGTCCTGGATGTTTTGACCAATGTGCGAAACCAGCCACTAGGCGTTCGTACCGCCGGTGACGATCCCCAAGAGGCGTCTCAATATGGTGTCCAGTTCATGAGGGGGTATCAGGAAGCAGGGTTAGTGACCTGTGGAAAACACTTCCCATCATATGGTAATTTGGAATTTCTCGGCTCCCAGACCGATGTCCCAATTATTACGGAATCACTGGAGCAACTCAGTCTCAGCGCGCTCGTACCCTTCCGCAACGCTATAAGTCAGGGCCTAGACGCCATGATGGTGGGAGGTGTCTCATTGTCATCTGCTGGAATGAACGTGATGCACGCTTGCCTGAGTGATCAGGTTGTTGACGAGCTCTTGAGAAAAGATCTCCAGTTTCAAGGGGTAGTCGTCTCCGAATGTTTGGAAATGGAGGCGCTCACACATAACATTGGAGTAGGAGGTGGCACAGTGATGGCGAAGAACGCCGGCTGCGATGTCATCCTTTTATGTCGGTCATTCCCAGTTCAGCAAGAAGCCATCAATGGGTTGAAACTCGGTGTGGAGAACGGCATCATCGGCCGTCAGCGAATTGAACAATCATTGCGCCGGGTTTTGAATTTAAAGACGCGGTGTACTTCGTGGGAACAGGCACTGAACCCTCCGGGGCTTTCTTCACTTACACAGATGCAACCCTCGCATACGAACCTTTCCACCCGAGCCTACAACTCTTCCATCACAGTGATGAGAGATAAGAATAATTTACTTCCGTTGTCCAATGTCATTGAGGCAGACGAGGAACTTCTTCTGCTGACTCCGCTGGTCAAGCCACTCCCCACATCGGCGGTTTCTCTCTCGGTCGCAGAGTCTGTGCATGGGCCGCTTGATCCATTATCTGCGGAACGAACGTCATCGGTTCTGAGTGGAGAGGGCGTCTTCAAAGAACTTGGACGGTCACTCTCACGGCAGAGGAATGGGCGTGTGTTGCACACCTCTTATACCTCTAATGGCGTGCGTCCCATCCACGAAGACCTCATCCAACGGGCGAGTGCTGTAGTCGTTGTCACGGCAGATGCAAATCGCAATGTATATCAGCAAGGGTTTTCCAAACACGTCTCCATGATCTGCCAATCACAATATACCTCATCTGGAGAACGCCGCGCGAAGCCATTGATTGTGGTGGCAGTTAGCTCGCCATATGATTTTGCCATGGATTCCTCAATTGGTACTTATATATGCACGTATGACTTCACGGAAACAGCCCTCCAGGCATTGGTCAAGGTGTTGTATGGTGACTTGACACCTTCAGCGGCCCTGCCCGGCTCGATTGGCCGAACGCAGAAAATTCATCAATCTCGACAGCACTGGCTTGTCGAAAATTGGAATGAGGACCGCGACTCTTTCGCATTGGATGCTCTGCTTGACACCATCCGAGACGACTGTGCACCGGGCCAGCCGTCAGAACTTCTTGGAGCTACCGCTAGCAGCTTCTTGCTGCGAAAGGAGGATATCGACGAAGCCCATTTCGTTGTCCGGAACAGTAGCACGCAGGCCATCTATGGGTTCTGCGCAACCTACTTCTTTCGATCCACAGGCACCGGCGTCCTGGCATGTTTAATCGTGGACCCCTCTCGAAGGAAACTATCCATCGGACATTCTCTTCACAGCCGCGCGATTCGGACTCTACTCCAACGGAGCGGGATGAAACGCTTCCAGCTAGGATCCCGGTTACCAGGGATCTACCTTGGCATCCCGACCGTGAACCCGGTGGAGCGCAAGCGGCTGCGGCAATGGTTCGCGAACATGGGGTGGAACACCGGGCTTTCCCGACCAGTGTGCAGCGTGATCCTGCGTAATCTGTCGACATGGGTCCCGCCCGAGGGCCTCACTACGACCTTGCAGAGTGCCGAGGTCACATACGACCTCGTGTATGGCTGGGACTTTTCGCGCGCGATTCTCGATCACATCAAAACATATGCGCGGCAGGGCGTGGCAGACATATACCGCATGGCTCTGGGTGGCGCGCCTAACTGCGGGATCATCCGGGCCAAGCGGCCCTCCGACGGGGTTATACTCGGGAGTATCGTGATCTACAATGAGCGATCTACCTTGGCAGAGCACATGCCTGTGCTGCGGGCCACCCAAGCTTCTGTCGGGGGCATTTCGTCTCCCGTGATTTCTTCTTGCGGTGAAGATTATTCTGCGGTTATGCAGGGTCTGATCCTGTTGGCTATCAAGCAGATCCGGAAGTTGAGCGCCGATGCCGTGGTGATGGATTGTGTCAGTTTTCTTCGCCTCGTTTTCTCCATTACTTCTCTAACAAGACACAGGTCGACGGTGACGATAACTTTGACAATCTCTCGACGATGGGATTCACTATGCTACATAGCTTTGAGGAAGTGAACTGTGATGCTGCTACGTGGACGATGATGCATGCGTAGCGATCAGACTTCGACTCTGTTTTTCATTTTGATTTCTTTTCGGTCCTGTTTTCCTCGCGTCTATGATATCCATATCGCATTGGGCTTGGCATTTGTTTCCCATTTTCTTTCTTCCAATTGGATATTGACCTTTGTTTTATACGATCCAATATTGGTTCTTCCACGGATTTTCTTCTCACGCATATTTTCTATTGGATTCCTTGGGGTATTTGATAGGGCCTGGGGGTAGGACAGAAAGTTTGTTCTGGCGTTCTGGTCCAATCAACTAAATTCTATGGTCACAGGATTCCCACTGGTGATCACCAGCGATGATCTGGGAATATAGAAATCATGTCAAGATTCTCAAAGTGTTTATGCCCGGAATCGGGGACTAGGGAATCGGGAACCGGGGAATCGAGACGTAAAAGAAGAAAATCCGTTTATTGTATGGACCTCGGGAGGACCTGACTAGCCCGTGAGTTCTCAGGAAATATGAACATTAATCTAATTACCCTCATTCTCAAGCCAAGACTGAGCCGGACCGGACGTCCGTTGGAAGTCAAGCGTGGTTAAATTAAATTTATCGGATTTTGTTCCATTTGCGTTTAACTTCCAGTGGGTTTTATGGGGGAAGGGGAATTGTGGGCTGTAGAACGGAACTCCGCTTTGGCGCCGGAGCCGGACAACCCACTTCTTGGTTCAGAAGAAAGCCAGGGGCTAGGGGTAGTATTTGGTCTTTTCTTTCTTCTCTTTTCAAGATGCGACATGAGAAGGCATTTGATATATAAAGACCATTCTCTCTTTCCCCAAGATTTT